GCTCCGTGGCGGAGGGGCCCCAGCAGCGTTGCCTGCCCCTTCCCTCTCTCCGCATTGCTCGCTTGCGTGGCTGCAGAGGAATCCTGCAGGCCTCCGGCACCCCTGGGCGAGCCGCTGCATCCACCCCCCTTCTTCGGTTGCTCCATCTCCTTGGTTTTGTTCTTACCCAACGCATAGGCGCTGAGAGGTCAGAGAGTGGAGCCCCCGGCCTCACAGAGGGTTTAGCTGAACCCAAGGGCTCAGTAAATGTTCAAGGACTCATGGGACTCTTGCTGGAAGCCTGCGGGGGACCCCTCTGGGTGGTGAGGACCCTGCAGCTCCTTCCAGGTGCCCTATGAACGCTCTGCACACCCTGTGGAACCCTGCCCACTTGGGTGTCCAGGCCGCTGAATCAGGCGGGGCTCGCACCGGAGGCGTGGGGCCCCGGGGCCAGAGGAGCCGGAATACCATGTGAGTCACCTTTAATTAAGAAGATTTCTCAAGTAAATGACTTAATAGGACAGTTATATTCATTAGAGGCATCATTACAAGGCGTCAGACCGGGCAGGAACAAATGGGGAGGGGAGGACAGAACCCCATTGGAGGCAGCGAGGCAGGGCCTGGGGAGACGGCGGCTGGGTGGGCAGCGAGAGGGCGTTCTCCCCATGTGGGACCCTCAGGGTCACACCCACCTGCCGGCCCAGCCACCCGCTCGTCCCAGCATTCACAGTGGAGGAGGCGGGGCAGGCACGAGCATAATTAAAGGACAATAATAATAAACACACACTAATTAAAGCATCTTCGAATGTCCCATTAAGCTCAGCATGACACACTGGATACTGCCCAGGAGAGAGCTCCCTCTCCTGCCTGAACTTCCGGCCCATCCCCCCATCTCACCTCCCCACCCCCACTCCCGGCACGGTGCTAGTGCCCGGCTGTCACCTGGGTGTGCGCAGGGACGTGACCTCTGACTCCGGAGGTCTGAACTCGGTCCTCCAAGGCTCCGTAAACCTAGAATCATCACAAACAATTTCTCCAATAAGGAGACACCCAGGCCATGTTCATTCCTTCCCTAGCCCCAAAGTGGAGTTTTACTCCATTTCTTCCTGGCCCCAGCACCTGACGTCTACAAAGGCTTCCCACCAAGGCGCTGAGGTCATCTGAATGTCTCAAACTGGCCATCAGCTGGACGGTCGTCAAAACCCACGTCCTGGGCCCGTCTCCAGCGGTGTGGCCGACTGAGTGAATGGGTTCTGGCTTGGCTCGGTAATGAGCCCACAGTGACGACCACAGTGCTGGTTCCACAACCACAGGTTGGGAGCTGCATAGGAGGACACTTCTTGAGCCAAGGAGGGACCAGCTGAAGGGCTCGGGGATTTCATGTATCCCAGCCCTGCCGCCTTCATAGTCCTTCCCAGGTGAACCCGAACCCTTCCAGACTCACACCCAAGCTCCCTGGGCCTCTTGTGAGGTTTCCAGAGGAAACCCTGCCCTCTCTGGGTTTGTTGTTGGGGTCCCCTGGGCAGCGCCTCTCACACCACCTCCCACACGAGGGGCTGCACTCTCTCTCTGATATACGAAATGCGGGCTACAGATGCGAGCCACATGTGTAATTCTAACTTTTCTGGCAGCCACATTGCAGAAGTAAGGAGAAACAGGTGACATTAATAATGGCTGTTATTTAACCCAGTGTATGCAAAATATTATCTTTTCAACATGTCGATGAAAAAATTATTAATGCGTCCTTTTACTTGTTTTCTTTTCTGTACTAAAATCCTCAAACTCCCGTGTCCATGGCATCCATGACAGCATGTTTCAGTTCAGCCCAGCGCCCATCTCAAATGCTCGGTGTCCACACGGGGCCTGTGGCTGTCGGGCAGAACAGCACACACAGGCGGGTTTCCTGTTCGCTCCGAACCCCCTCGGCCTGCTCTGGGCCTCTCTTAGACTACCTGTCGCTTCCTTGTTTTTGTTGCTCATCTGTTTATAACTTGAAGGCGATGGCTGTGTTTTCATGCACTTGCTGGTTGCTTACACTCTTGAAGCACCCAGCGCTGGCCTGGATGGAGGATGCAATCAAGGAATCCTGGTTGGCGAACAACTGGAAACAAACACCCAGGGCCACTGGCGGCAGACAAGGCCCATGGGAGCGCCTGTCCTTCAGGGTCTCCTCCCAGCCACTATGACATTTCTTGCTCTGGTTTGTGCATGGCTATTAGATCTTACAGGAGCGAAGAATTCAAGTGTGAGAGCATACTCCCCTCACTCCTGTAAGTTTCCTATTCCACTTTGCTCTTCAACTCAGTGCATTACAAAAAAAAAAAAAAAAAAAAAAAAAGAATCCCACCAGGAGGGCCCAGGAAACAGGAAAAATAGTTGTGCTCTTGGTTTCGTGTTTGGAGAAGAACAGGGTTTCACTATCTCCGCGGCACTTGGCGTGAAAGTGGGCTTTGTTGCTGGACACACTGCTCCCATTCAGGGCCCCCTTTCCCAGCTGCTCAAAGCCGGCCTGTGTTTTGACAGACGGCCCAAATGCAATGCACACAGTTGTTTTAATTCCCAGCCAGATGCAGACATCACTCACAAGGGGCCCAAAACCCCAGAAAGGAAGGCCGGGCCCTGGATGGCTCCTTGCAAGCCTCAGAGGATGGGTTGGAGGGGCCAGCGGAAGCCCGCCGGGCAGCCAGGGCCCCGCAGGTCCCGAAGGGCTGAGAGTCGCCCCGCCTGGGAGAGGCACCTTGAAGTCTCCGACAGGCACCTGTGAGGCAGGTGCTTCTTGCAGGGACCGCCCACCAGGGGGCAGGGTTCAAGGGCTGCTCTTGGAGTCCACAGGAAGTTCGTTGGTGGTGCTGACGGCTGGATGTTATCACTCAACTGTCGGCTCACAGGGGACACGAGTCCTAGTCTCAGGGCGGAGTCGGACAAACTGTGGGAAACAGAATCCTGGATGGCAGAATGGGAAGGGCTGAGGGCAGAGAGCCCTTTCACAGCCCCCTGGACAGATGCCGCCTTCACTCCTCTTCCACGTCCCGGCGACAGACGGGGTCTCAGCCCTTGGGGCCTACTGCAGTGTCGTCCAACCCTGACTCGCTTATGTTGAGTGTGGCTGGACTCCCTGCCCTGAGCCATCCTGCAGCTTCACCACTGCCCTTCTCACAGCTACTTGAGACTCCTGGGTTCACAGATGGTCCCCGCTCCATCCTGGCCCGCTGCAGGACACGTGTCTGCTTGGGCGACACCCCACTAGGGCAGGTTGCGGGGACCTGAGCTCAGAACTCCGCAGTATGGGGTGGCCTCTCTCAGTCCCTGCCCTGTGCACGTGTCTAAGTGACTCATGCTCACGTTGGCCCCTTTGGCCATTACATCACCAGTCGACTCAGACCCTCAGGTGTATTACGGAGGAACTATCGAAACCAGCTCTCCATCACCACCACACACACAGACTATCAGTTGAATCTCAAGACTGTACACTTGTTATGTCTGCTATTTACATTCCCATTATTAAAGGAAGGGTAGGACTGCTTAATGCTGATCCTGTCACTCACTCACAGAGAAACCTGGTGATCCGGCGTGCTGAGTGTTATAATGTGGTGAGGACAGGTAGGGACCTCTCTGTCCCTGCCCCATCCCATGAGAACCCAGAACTCAAGTTAAGCTAACCTTGCCCGGGATGGCTTTTGGCCATGACAATCCCGCAGCTCGGACGTCCTTCCAAGTTACCTGCACCAGTGGCGACTCACCCTTACTGCCCTGTCCATGTCCTCCCGATAGGTTTTATCTAAGCTGCTGGGATCTACAGAGCTCACACCAACCCCAGGACACCGAAAACAATATAGAGCAAGCACCTCTCAGTCTGTAGTTGCCAACTGCTGCCACGCTGTGGGGCTCTGCGTGGGCAGCAGCATGCGCCATTGGCCGTGGCCTCTTAGTGCCCGGCCCTGATTCCCCAGAGCTGACGTCTGACCAGCACTGGCCAAACCAGCTCGCTAGCATCCAATCCTGAGCGTCTGTGAAGGCGTCCCCATCGCATCTGTCCTCTTTCCATGGCGGCGCACTCTGCTCCCGCTAGACCACAGCTCGTGTCATCAGCTGAGCTTACAAGTCCAGCGGGTGGGGGACCTCTATGCCCCAGCAAATGACAACCCGTTCCCTGCCTGGAAAACACATTTGCAGCCCAGCAGCCTCCTGCCCCAGGCAGTGTCAGATTCCCAGAAGATAGCAAGTGTATGACTTTGGTCCTCTGTCCTCGCCCGGCCTTTGTTGTCACTCGTGCTGGGCCAGAAGGCAAGAGTGATGTCCACACAGGCCCGGCTCAGGTCCCTGCAGGGCCAGGGAGAATTTTCGAGGGTTGCACTCGCTGGGCAGCAGGTTGTTAATCTGCAGATTCCCGCTCTCTGGGCAGGACAGGATCAGACGGGGAGCTCCTCTCCGCCGTCGTTACCATTGAGCCAAATGTTTCAAAGGCCGGGAGATTTGCTTGGGAAACTGAATGCAGACATCAGAGAATGGGATAATTGGATCCAGGTGGGATAGTTGGTTGGCTATAAAGAGGCTGTGGCATTCGATGAATATTCGTGGAGGGGAGAAGTTTCTCCCTCTCTCCCTTCTCGGATGTTTGCGGCGCAGGCAGGATGTCACAGCCCAAGCCCAGCTGAATGCTCTTCAGATGAGTTTGTGCCACTCAATAGCCTTTCAACAGAGTTAACCATTTTCAGCACTTGCCCCTGGCTTGTCCGGCTCTCCGGGGTGGGGGATGTTACTCATACACAGAAAGAGATCGGTGGATTTAGTTCCAGCTCTGCAAAGCAGGAAGTTTGAGCCCTGCCATGCCAAAGCATGGTCTACATGGCCGTGTCTGTGTATGTGGGCACGTCAATGAGAACATCAAGGTCACTGGTCACCCCCAGTGCTGCCTGTTAAGAGCTGAGGTGGTGCCACCCGGGTAGGTAAGGGGAGTCTCAATACACGTGTGTGAACTGTCACAACCTGACCTCACCGTGCCCCTTTGCTCTCTCTGCCAGGTCACCAGGGTTCCCGTGGAGTCATGCGAACAGTACACAACTTGTGGGGAGTGCCTGAGCTCGGGGGACCCTCACTGCGGCTGGTGCGCCCTGCACAACATGTAAGTTTGGATCATTCTGGAAAAAGACCTGGTGTACAGAAAACCCGGGGCTTTCCTGGCATGATGGGATGTGGCAGGAATTCAAATGTTGTATCCAGCTTTGGGGGCAGGAAGAGGCAGCAGGGGTGGGGTTGGGGGTTTTCTCTAAGTGCAGGGTCCCTGTCTCTCTGCCGGTCCCTGCTATCTGCTCTGAGGGGACACACCTGCATCCCAGTGTTGTGAGAGAACTCACAGGGGAGCCAGGGATTCTCCAGCTATCCTGAGAACCAACTCACTGTAGCCTGATAGAGGTGCACCTGTCAAGAGCGGGCAGACAGTGGCGTGCTGGGGGTGGGAGGCCTGGCCCCCAGCTGGCTGCTGTGTGACCCTGAGCGGGTCCACTGACAACTCCAGGCTTCCAGTCCCCATTGCTAAATAGGGAAAAATGCCTGTTTCACAGGTGAATTGTGAAGACTAAATGAAATAATAAATGCTTTGGAAATAAGGAAGCCCAGAAGAGGCTACACAAATCAAAATAATTATTATGGACTCTGTACCCTTGGGAAGACCCTTCTGGCCTCATTATTTCATGATTCCAAGAAGTCCGCATCTCACTCCAACTGGCCTCCTATCCCTATTCAAATATCTCCCTGCCATTGAATACCCGCTCAATAGAAATGCAAAATCACACAAACTTCCTAATTCCAAGAGCCCCAGAGGGAGAGAAAAGGGTGAAAACCCCACAGGCAGGAGCTGCCTACGAATGGAGTTGGAAACTCCGTGGCTGGGTGCCAGCCAGCCATGCATCTCCATGAAATGTGCCGGGCTAGGGGTGGAGGCGGAGGCGGAGGGCCAGGGTTCAGGGTCCTGCACAATAGCTCTTGGCTTCCAGCCGCTGCAGCAGGTGTTGGGAGGCTCGAGAGGGAAGGAGGGAGCCTGGCGCCTCACAGATGCAAAATCCGGACTGGATTTGAGCCCACTTCTCCTGGGTTCCCTGTTTGGGTTTTGGAGAGAAGTGATTCCTCCAAAAGTTTTGCAAAAATGCTCATAGCAAAACCCACGCAGCAAGTCTCCATGGCCATCAGACCACGATGGTGATGCCACGCCAGCCTGGCACAGCAGGGAGTGCAGTCTAAGTGCCCTGAGGAGGTGGGCCCAGCAGCCAGCGGGCTGTCTCCTCCAGAGGTTCTCTTCCTCTAAAGAACCCAAGAACCCATGAAAGGGCCCTGCACCGCTGCTGTCCCATTCTGCAGTGGGCACCTGCAGCCATAATGCCCAGTGCCCGAGCTCCCAGCCTGCCTTCCCAGAGACAGTGGCCATAAGTGGCTGTGGCGCTTCTCACGGGTGGGACGTGGCAACACCGCAGATCAGCGGTGACCCTTTATTCAACAGCAATGACCTCTGCTTCCCCCAACCCATCCCAGTGCCCAGTGCCCAGCCTCCCCACGGCCCCAGCCGCCTCCACCTGCCTCCTCGTCTGGGTGGTCCACTGCTGAGAGAAAACACAGCCGTGTCAGGTCTGGAGAGCCCAGGTTTCCTCTGTCCCCCAATCTCCTTCCCGGTTGTCACAGAACCTTCCCGCCTCCCTGCACCTGTGCCTGCCGTAGCAGCAGGGGAATGACATTCTGCTGTTGGCACCCCCAGGCTGGTCTTCCCGAACCCCCAGAGCCTCCCCTGGTTCCTGCCTCGGCCTTGGCGACAGAGCAGTGAGGAGATGCGGCAGCCTCCGGCCACAGGCCCCACACACAGGCCTCTGTCCTGGAGGCCCAGAGCCAAAGGAGATCGCTGGCGAGCCTGCGAGGATTGGAAACCTTCTGGTCTCTCGCACAGGCTGCGCTCTTGCCAGTGTGTTATTGTCTCCCCGGCTATTTATCTCTGTTAGGGCAGTTGCCATAAATAGTATGATAAAAAAGAGCATTTCAGGGAGTCAATGAGATAAAGGCTGCAGTCAAGGGCTCACTTTAGAGCTATCTTAAGGATTCACTTAAACCTCAATAATTCTTCTCTTTGACAGCATTCATATTTAGATCCATTATGTGCCTGGAAAGGAAGAGGGGGAGGAGTTTGGGGGGGCTGGGGTGGGAGTCTCCGCTTGCTGGTGGAATCCAGCAGATTCCTAGTGCAGACCCAGGAGCTTGGGGGCATGGCAGGTGGCAGCAGGGCACCCCCCATGGGCACAAGAGCCTGCAGCGAGAGACAAAGATTTGAAGAGAAGCGGCCACCCAGGCCTTGTGACGGAGGCCACCCTGGCAGCAGCTCCCTGTCTGTCCATCTCTGTTGCAAGGCATTATTTCATGACACAAACACTTGTTTACAATCCACCATGTGATGGCTAGAATATCCCAATGAGTTCCACAGCTCTAGATTCCCAGGGCCATCAGTCTGCATGTGCAGGGTCCCCTGTACCCTATCCCACACCACACCGGCCTTCTCCTGTTTTCTCCCTCGTTCTGAGCATCACCTCCCAGGACCAGCACTGAGGGTACAGTGCAGCGGGCCAGGGCAGGCAATTTCCTGAGCTCTGCTTCTAGCCTCACCCTTTTACAGCTGAGGGAGCAGAGCCGCAACGACCAAGAGTGCACCGCTGGAAGGTAACAGGCCTCAGGGACTCAGGAGCCAGGCAGCCTGACTCCAGAGTTCAGATTCACGGCCTGTGGCTCTGCGACTTCTTGGATTCCTCAGACTTCCTTGGCTCACTCGTCTGAGCATCCTACAGTGCTGTCAAGGGTGCTCTTTGAATGCACACTGCAGCGTTAGTGTTCGGGATTTGTCCACTTCCTCTCAGTCTGTCCTTAGCTGCCTGCGACAGAGATCACCGGGAGGCACCAAAGCCTTCTAGACAAGCCACAGGCAGAGGGGCAGCAGGGGACAATGGAGCCCACCCCCTGGGCCCCCGTGGCCTGACCTCTTGTGGATCTGTGTCTATGGCAGGTGCTCCCGCAGGGACAAGTGCCAGCGGGCCCGGGAACCTAATCGATTTGCTGCCAGCATCAGCCAGTGCATGAGCCTCCAGGTGCAGCCCAGTAGCATCTCCGTATCTGAGCACAGCCGGATGGTGAGTCACTCCACAGGGGGTGGCAGGGGGCAGGCGATGGGATGCCGGTACTGCTGTCACACCGCACAGGGATCTATGAATGGGTCAGATGCTAGCTGCCCCAAGCAAACTTAAGGTGTTGATAGAAAACTTTGGCAGCCCCTACTATAAAGGGCCCGGTCCTTCTCCCTCTGAGCTGATTCCCCACTGATCTGCTTTGTAAATCTGTAATTTGCATTCAGTGACAAAAGCCTATGACACAATGTCATCCACCCAAATAGCACATGCTTTAGGATATGCCGTATTAACAATTCTCCATTTGCTACAGCCCCTCACAGAAGTCTACAAATTGCCTTTGCATGTGTGTGTGTGTGTGTGTGTATGAAAGAGCGAGAGAAAAACCGCGAGACTGAGCCTCAGTTTGAAGTCAGTGTGTGCTTAACAAGAATATTAAAGAGAATAAATCACGCCCCAGCCACCTATCAAGGTACAACCCCAAATAGTCCATGTCCTCAGGCCCTGACTATTATTTCATTCCGAAGGTTTATAAGCATTCTCGAATGTTAATTAGTTAATGAACCTTCCAAGATTGGAGTTCATTCATCCCCACCAGGAGGTTTGGGCTCCAGGGGACCAGAGGGAACAAACAGGGGAGTTTGTCCTTAGCCTCCTGGCCCCATGGAAACGAAACTGGGGCAGAGATTTAGCTGCAAAGCACTATGCGGGAAGGCTGGACAATACCCGCCATGACCGAGCGTCTGCACAGAAACTCTGCCAGGTGCTGGTGGGCAGGCAGCCGTCACGGGACCCCTGACGTGGAGCACAGGGGTGTCACCATCATGACCCGTGGGCAGCCCTCGGCACCAGAGGGAGCCCCTCGCGTTTTCGCCCATTCCAAAACCAATTGGAGTCTGAACTGTGGCCATTGACGGCCAATTCATTTTAAAGTGTGTGGAACTCACAGCAGCATTTTTCCATTAACTGTTTTCTCAAGCAACGCATTTTTCTGAGAGTCTGATATCTTCAGCATTAAAAGAGGGTCTGGGGAAGGAGGTTCTCAGGGCAGGCTTTTTTTTTTTTTAAAGATTTATTTATTTATTCAAAAGAGAGTTACATAGAGAGAAGTAGAGGCAGAGAGAGAGAGAGAGAGAGGTCTTCCATCCACTGGTTCACTCTCCAAATGGCCACAATGGCTGGATCTGCACCGATCCGAAGCCAGGAGCCAGGAGCTTCTTCCGGGTCTCCCACGTGGGTGCAGGGGCCCAACGACTTGGGTAATCTTCCACTGCTTTCCCAGGCCATAGCAGAGAGCTGGATCAGAAGTGGAGCAGCCGGGACTAGAGCCGGCACCCATTTGGGATGCCGGCACTGCAGGTGGCGGCTTTACCCAAAGGCCACAGCGCTGGCCCCAGGGCAGGCATTTTTAACCATCAAGATGCCTGAGTCCCATATCAGAGTGCCTGACTTCTTGTCCCAGCTCTGCTTCCGGTTCCAGCTTCCTGCTGATGTGCACACTGGGGAGCAGCAAGTCCTTGGGTCCCTGCCACCCATGTGGGAGACCTAGATTGAATTTCTAGCTCCTGGCTTGGGCCTGATGCAGTCCTGGCTGTTGCGGACATTTAGGGAGTGAGCCAGTGAGCCATGGGAGCTCTGTCTGTCTGACTCTGTCTCAAATAAATTAAGAAATAGGAAAAGGAGGGGGAGTTTGGAACCCCCTGGCCTCACTGGTCAGAGCCCATAGGCATCAGCAGACATTCAGACCCCTTGGGCTCCTTCTGGAGCTACTATTCTAGTCTAGGGGCCACAGGAGGCGGCCGCTAGTGACCGGAAAGCCCGAAGGAGACAGAGAAGCAGACACCCTAGGAACCCTGCATTCTCAGCAAGGGGCCTCTGAATAAGCGATAGCCATGGTGAGGCTCTCGCCACCTTCCAGAGTGAGGCTCTCGCCTAGTGACCTCCGGCTAAGCCTCCAGATGGGTGGTTCCCGGCCAAGGGCTTGTGAGTGATGGGCTCAGCTCCTGACTCTCTGCCAAGGGTGCATGGAGCCCTGTGGTAATGTCCCTGTGAAAATGAGCAGGGTCTCAGGGGGATTGTGGTCCCCTGCTTCCAGGGCTTTCTGGAACTGGACAAGATAGAAAACTCGATTAATGATAAGAATCTGAATAAAGAGCAGTGGCTCTGGCCACGTGGAACAATTAGTTGCTGGAGTTGTTCAGGGGCAGAGTTGGAAGATCACCCAGACCAGCCCCTTCTTTTTTTTTTTTTTTTTTTTTTTTTTTTGACAGGCAGAGTGGACAGTGAGAGAGACAGAGAGAAAGGTCTTCCTTTGCCATTGGTTCACCCTCCAATGGCCGCCGTGGCCGGCGTGCTGCGGCCGGCGCACCACGCTGATCCGATGGCAGGAGCCAGGTACTTATCCTGGTCTCCCATGGGGTGCAGGGCCCAAGCACTTGGGCCATCCTCCCCTGCACTCCCTGGCCACAGCAGAGAGCTGGCCTGGAAGAGGGGCAACCGGGAAAGAATCCGGTGCCCCGACCGGAACTAGAACCCGGTGTGCCGGCGCCGCTAGGTGGAGGATTAGCCTAGTGAGCCTCGGCGCCAGCCCAGCCCCCTTCCTTGATGCATGAGGTCGGGGCTGGGGCGGGGGGATCAGTGAGCAAGTGGACTTCAGCAGAGCAGCCCTGAGTACTTCCCACTGGAGCGTCCGTTTCGAGCCTCTTTTCTGCCCCCGCAGCTCAGCCTGGTTGTGAGTGATGCTCCCGATCTGTCTGCGGGCATCACCTGTGCCTTCGGGAACCTGACGGAGGTGGAGGGGCAGGTGTCCGGAAGCCAGGTCATCTGCATCTCCCCTGGGCCCAAGGATGTCCCCGTCATCCCTCTGGATCAAGGTAAGCAGTGTCTTCCAGGAGAATCGCATGCCAGAGGCTGCCCTACTGTGGCAGAGCTGGGAGTGACAAGTGCCAGGAAGGTCTTCTTCTACCAGATGCGAATGTTTGCTTATGCAGCTTGTTGTGAACGGTCACACCCGGAAGGGGAATCCAGGAAGAAAGAAAACCCGCAGCTACCCTTTGGGTTAAAGCTGCAGAGTGGGCAGAGTCCCTGCACACTGTGAGCCCTTCTAGGGATGGGAGCGGCTTCTGTCAGCTTCCAGCAGGTTCTCGCCACAGAGCTGGGGCTGGAAGCATTCTTCCCTAACAGTTCTGAAGTTCTTCCAGTAGCTGAACACGCCTGACCAAAGCAAGGGACCCCCGGGAGTCTGCCGCTCCCTCCCTAGGGGTGAGACAGTTGGGTCTGCAGCATGAACTAGTAATGGGCCAGAGGGAGTCTCCTGGGGGGAGAAGAAATTCAGGCAGGTTCTCTCTGCCATCTGCATCCCAGGGAACCCCAGGTGGCCCCAGGGTCTGCTGGTCCCAGGTGTTCACTCTATCACCTCCTTTCCATTTTTTCCCAGACTGGTTTGGACTCGAGCTGCAGCTGAGGTCCAAGGAGACTGGAAAGATATTTGTCAGCACTGAGTTCAAGTTCTACAACTGCAGCGCCCACCAACTGTAAGCATTTCTCCGGAGGAGCCTCACCCTGGGTCTGGACAGTGGGGGGCGGGGGGGTCCCTCCCTTGGCTCTGAGCTCCTTGAGGACAGGACTTGTGCAGCAGTCCCCTCCACAGTCTCCACAGGGGCCTGGTGCGGTGTTTGGACAGAGTAACTGGCATTTGCTCCACGCTGTCCCTGGCCTTATCCAGTCTCCCTCGGCCCCACCCCAGCACACCCCTACTCCAGTTCTCAAGCCAGAAAAAGGCTCATGGCCCAGGAGCCATAAGAAAAGGCGTCCACTTTAAAGCAGCTGGTGGTGGCTTGGAAGGTAGAGAATGGTGATGAGTGGAGTCTGGACTTGGCATCTACACTCTGGTGAAGAGGGCCCGAGCTCCGGGCCTCAGCTGTGCACACCCACAGAGGAGGAGCAAGGCTGGGGGGAGTAGCCACATTCCAAACTCATCCGCAAAAGCAGAGCAACTCCAGCCTCCGGAGGGGCCTCCGTGCAGCTGGGCCACCTCCCCAGCTTCTTCCTGTAGCTGCATGCCTACAGATTAGTGCCCACCGCTCTGAGATTGCACACGGTGCAGGCAGCTGGTAGCAGTAGGTCAGGAGTGGAGAACAGAGGTCCCCCCCTTCATTTCTGCCCGTCCTTTCTGGGAGAGAAATGAGACTCTTTCTACAGAAGTGTGGAAGCTCCTACACCGTTTGGTTCAGAAGGAGAGGAACACAAGGCCCTGCAATAGGCCACATAGGGTTGTAGGACCAATGGGCCTGCACGTTTGGCAAGGGAGAAGCTAAGCGGCAGCTCCATGCAGAGGGAACCGTATTTGGTTCCACAGACCCATCCTTCCCATCACCTGAGAGCTACACAATGAGCAGAGCCCCAGGAACATCAAACCTGCAGGTACAAGCTCTGGGCACAATGGGCTTGGCCGTCAAGGTGAGGAGGAGGTCTCTTCAGCTAAGTCCTAGAGAAATCTCTAGCCATCGGTACAGTCTCCTCTTCTCAGATCTGGATTGTCGTGATTTGGGTTGACTTCTGAAGTTCTAGAGTTTCTACAGTAGTCAAGGAAGGAGACGTATCTGAGCCCCATGGGGAGGAATCAACAGATGTGCTGAGACACGGCAAGTGATGAAAATGGCCTGGTAGGAAACAGGGCGGGGCAGAAAGTGGTGCAGCTGCAATGGATGCGGTCGGCCACTTGCCGCTGCGTTCCAATCCCAGCTGACCCTGTGTTGGCAAACACAAGCATCTCGGAGACAGCACCCCTCAAGCTCCTCCACAAACTAACCCGGGGCGACAGAACCCCTTGTTTGTGAGAGCATCCCCTTCTCCTTGCTGAGCCAGTGTGATGTCACCACTTGTAATGATGGATTGCTATGGCAACAGAGATGCTGTCACAGGCAGCAGGCTGGGAGGAAAAAAGCTGGTCTCGTTGACAGCAAAGATCTCATTTTGTTCCCAATGCTGTCTTACCCTTCTCTACCTTTGATAGTCATAGTTTCAAGCCACAGAGTCACATTCAAGTGCTTCTTTCTAATGTGACAAACTGAGGCCCACAGACGGTACATGCTGTGACGATGGTCACAAAATGAGCCCATGCAAGAGTCAGGTCTGGAGCCCCAATAGATACTGCTATGTGTAGCTCACTGGTCGGCTTTCATTATTTGTTTGCCAAATCCTATAACATTAGCAACAACCAGCTGATCATAGGGAAATTCATAAGCAAAATAATTTTGGACATATGCAAAAGGAGATATAAATGATGACCAAGGGAAAACGAAGTGTAGCTGGGCTAATGCACTTCATAACCTGTGGCCCAGGAGCCCTGGGTGGCACCGCAGCCACCCAAGTGCAGTCGGAAGCCCACCAGGTGGCGCCAGCTCGCAGATCTGATCCCACCCACTCCAGATAGTCTCCTTGTGAAAGGGGAGCAGGCAAAGAGAAGGAAGGCCACCCCAGCTTGCCAACACGCTTGCATTACAGTGGTCTGAGTACACAGAGAGAGCCAGCGTAATGTACACAGCCGCCAGGTGAGGCCGGAGGGAAAGGAGGGCACACCTTGGCCAGGAAGGCATTGCCACACCAATATTCCATGGCTCCGTGCCCGGGCTTCTTGGGGAGTAGGACAAACTTACCATTTAATACTGTGAATTTCCCCAAGCCCAGTAACACAGCTGCTATGGACCAATTGTTAACACTCTAATGTTATTTAAGAGCTTGAAATAGCAGGTAATTTAAGTACTTGAAAAAAATACATTTAGCTTTGTACTTTTCAAGACCACTTCCTATACATTAGCTTGTTCGATACCAGGCAGCCCTGTGGTGCAGACAGGAATGGTTTGTTATAGTCAGATGAAGAAACTCGAATTCAGAGGGAGAAGTGCCTTACTCAGGCAGCAGCCGAGGAAACACTGGAACCGGATATGCCCAGGGTCCACCCCGTGCTCTTTGAGCTCCTCAGTCTGATAAGCATTGCCGTGATGGTAAATGGTTAACTGCCAGCATTGAGGGAAAAACCCTAGTTTGCAATTTCTGTGGTGTAAATACTCCCACGATAGCCAGTTTCAACATTTTTACCAGCATCGTGTCCACCAACTTGCGAAATTCTTATGAGCTAGTACAGACCAATGGTGGCACACTTCCACCTTATACGTTACATTAATCCTACTCTGACCTCTTTTTTCTTTCCTCCAGTTTTCTGATCCTATGAATATACTGGATAGAGAATTCACAGTTCTTAGTGCCAGGAAATCTCCCAACAATTTGCCTTCCCAAGACTGAGACCATGAAAGAGACTTCAGCAGGACACCTGGCTGCCTGGCCTGCCCTTCCCTCGCCTCTCTGCTCCCTGCCCTTGCCTCTTACTGTCCCTGTCCTTGCAGGTGCCTGTCCTGTGTCAACAGCGCCTTCCGCTGCCACTGGTGCAAGTACCGCAATCTCTGCACTCATGACCCCACCACCTGCTCCTTCCAGGAGGGCCGGATCAATATTTCAGAGGTAAGAGGTCTCGCCTTGGCAGGACAGTATTCCCGGGGAATCGTGGGGTCCCCCCTTCCCTGACCCAAATGGTCAGTCTAATGGCTTGGCCATCTTCTTGCTCTGGCCCGAGATTCTACATATTAGAAATCCCCACTGTGATAAAACTCAGAAGTCTCAGTAAATAACTCCAGAGGCAGAGGCCATGTCCACCAGACTCTTAAGACTATGCATTCAAGACCTTGAAGGTAACTGGGGCTGAGACCACAAGCTTAGAGGAACCACGTCCACCAACCAGCCTGCGTGGTTCAGAAGAGCTAGTGAATGCCATTTATTCTTTGAGTCTGGCCCTTTGCTTGGCTAAAGACATTTTCAAGTTCAATGGAACATTCACTCCCAACCATTTTCTCATGCCAACCTCTCTTCCAACTCCAGAACTTGGAGAAATGCGATGATTCTTTGACTCTGATGTATGACTGGGAGGGTGGTCTTGAACAAAGAGAAAATCAGCTGGTGAAAAGAACCATACATTGCTAAAAGACCTATGTTGTTATGTCAGCAAAGCTCCATCACTGAAGACTGGCCCCTCCCTTGTTATCAGCAACAGGAAATATCAAATCACTCATCTTTCCTTAGTATTCACTCATTGGCTATGCATTGATGTTGATTGCCTTACGACTTCACAGCATATCTTGAGGCAGTGAAGCCTGCTTGATAGCTTCCCTTAAAAAAAAAAAAAAGATTTATTTGAAAGGTAGAGTTACAGAGAGGAAGAGGAAGAGACAGAGGTCTTCCATCTACTAGTTCCCTCCCCAAGTGGCAGCAACAACCAGAGCTGGGCTGGTCTGAAGCCAGGAGCCAGGAGCTTCTTCCAGGTCTCCCACGCAGGTGCAGGGGCCCAAGCACTTAGGCCCTCTTCTGCCGCTTTCCCAGGTGCAGTCACAGGGAGCTGGATTGGAAGTGGAGCAGCCAGAACTCCAACGGGCACCAATATGGGATGCCTGTGCTGCCGGCAGCAGCCTCACCCACTATGTCACAGCGCCAGCCCCAGCTTCCCTTTCTTGTGCTTAATGCTTTTCATACCCCAAGGTGCCAGTTGGAGTTAAGCAATTATGCGGGTCTCATGTATTCAGACAAGTGCCCGTGTACATATATACACGTTTCTCTCTTGCTCCGCCTTTTGGAAAATGCATCAGTGTTAGCAGTGACAGTACAGGCTTTGTGGATACCTTTCCCCTATTACACCAAACTGTCAGCTCTCGAAGGCAAGGACTCCGTCTTGCCTTTAAATCCGCAGTGCCTTTTGCAGTGAATATTTGTAGAATGCACGCACGAAAGAATGGATGAACCAGTGACCTCTCTACCTACATCCCGCTGATGGGAACGGTGTCTTCCTGTCTAAGATTTCAAGAAAGGGTCTCTCTGAGTCTCCTAATTTGATTACGGCCCTGAGTGTTTCTGTGGCCAAACGTAAGAAAGTAGATCCTGAAAGGCTTCCCAAATACACACCCATCACCTTTAACTCCACCTAATTTTAGGAACAGAAAACAATGGAACGTACCTGAAAGAGGGCTCTGAGATGGTCCCCGCAGGTGCATCTGCCCCAGTCTCCCGCAGCCAGCACGCAGCGCCCTTGAGAACTGTCAGACAGGTATTTTCTTCCGGTCAGCGGCTGTGCTTTGATGCAGCTGGACTGGAAGCACCGCACTGGTCTTAGTGGACACTGGCTATAAATTCCGGCCAAATTCCCTACCAGGGTATGAAACTGCTTTGGGACCAGCAAAGGGCCCAGGAGCTGAAGGTATCGGGAGAGAGTCAGTCCTGCTCGGGAGCCAGTCCAGCGAAAGGAGACGAGCCAGGCCAGAAGGTGGGAAGGCCAGGATGCCTGCTCAGAGGCACAGGCTGGGCGGAGAGAGCAAGACTGTGGCAGACAGGCTCTGCGCCTGCCCGGCACGTTGTCGCGTCTAGTTCCTGAGCTCCTTACGAAAATCAGGCAAGGCTGACCCCAGCGCGTAGAGAGGGTGTGAAGTGCAGATCTAGAAAAGAAGAGCAGCTGTCTCACCTTCTCCCAAGGCCACGTGCAGCCTCAGCTGAGCCTGAGAGCAGCCGCCACCGGGGCGAGGCACGGGGTGTCGCTGGCTGGCTCGCTGGGACCCAGAGCCGACTGCAAACAGCCCGGCCTGGGCTCCTCCGCACCGTTTGGAGGAGGCTGAAACACAGCTTGCTCTCGGCCAGGCTGAGCGGTGCAGACGGCCCGAGAGCTGGGCCACAGGGGAGCCGTGCCTCCCCAGGACTGGGGGTGACCAGCCTTCCAAAACCCCAGGGGAACCCAGACGCTTCCCCTCTCCTAAGTTCATTTTCAGTGCTTGATGTCTGTGCCTTGGGACTGGAGAGGAGAGGTCCCTGTTGCCCCTCCACCTCCTTGTGTGAGACTGGGGTGGACGGGTACACGCATGCACTGTCTCCTGGCACGGCCCTAGAACCTGGCTCTCGGGAGGGAGCTGAGGGAAGCCAAGACTCCACCCAAGAAAAGAGAAACAGTGTGGATCTGCAGTCAGGTTGCAAGGGCCACCGCCTTGGCTTTCTAGGATACTGAGTACTGAGTGTGTAGGCACAGCCTCCTGCACATCCCTTCCCAGCAAATAGCCCCCAGGCCTTGCTCTTCCCGCCCAAACCCTGCTGGGGGGGGGGCGGTCCCCACTTCTGAAAGTTTAAGGAACAGCAGCATGCACTTGCCCAGCTTGCGTAAGGTGCCCCCCATGCGCTCTCCTCTTTTAGGGAGCTGGATATGCATTTGCTGTCTCTTTGGGGGGTCCCGAGACTATCTCTGTCACACTTCCAGTAAGTCCCTCCCCAGCTCTGAATCAAAAGCATGTGCCATCAGCTCCATCCATGGATAATACAGCAGTGTTAGTGTATCACAGCCTTGTCACTTCCTCTCACGAGGCAGGAGTTTCTCGAAGCGGGAACCCAGGGATCAGTCACATCTGCACCACCTGGGAACTCCTTTGCAATTCAAATTCTTGGGCTGCAGCCCAGATGAGGAGGCTAAAGACAGAACCCCTGGCATGTGCCGTGCCCGTTGACTCTCACAGCAGCCCTGAAGTCTCATATCACTCCAGTTGACACCTGGAGTAACCAAGATGATAACATTTTTTATTTTTTGCCCAAGGCTACAGAGAATTCAGGCATCCCAAAAAGCTGAGTACAGTTTACTTTCTGTAGAAAATCAGGGCCCGGGAATGTGTTTGTCTCCATGGCCACGGTCACACTTGCAGAGATTGACTTCAATCCGGCCCCTTTGCTGTTGACCTTGAGGGTGCAGGGTGTGGCCAGACCAGCACAAACTTGTGTCCACAAGTTGGGAAACTGTCCATGGAAAGATAGGCCAGCAGTGCCATGTCCACATAAAAAAAGCCAGCCAGGCGTGCCCAAAATACTAAATATATTCATCATTAACATTCACTGAATGTTTATTACATATGCAGCATATATGTGTCATTGAAGAGCTATATATAAACACCATTTACTCTTAACTACTCTATGAAGTGATTTCCATTACAGATAAATAAACCGAGGCTTGGATATGTTGAACAGTTTCCCTGTGATCATCAAATAAACGTGGAAATCAGGATTCAGCGTTAGTGTTCCGGGGCGGCCTTGAATAGGTTGGCGTCTGGCCCTGTTTTCTTACACACACATGCACACGCGTGAGAAGTGTGCAGTAATAATATTCACACTTGGTCATCCGGCTCCTGACCACTTACAAGGTCCTTCAGATCCTGCTTTCGTGCAACCTAGGGCTTTCAGGTATTGCAGGCTCTGGTTTACAGATGAGGAAACTGAATTTCCCTGGAACTGTCTCTCAAGGCCTTGCCAGGCAGTGGGCCAGAGCTTTCCACGGCTCGGAGCACAGCTGGTCTCCGGTGAAGCCGGCGGGGGTCTCTGCCTCCCTGGGCCGGATCAGGCCGTGGCGTGTTGTTAGCAAGCTGGTGCGCACAGGGGTACACGTGGCCTTCAGCTTTGAAAGCTCATCGTTCTCCATGGCTAAACCAGGCCTAGTGAGATGTAGATGCATAAATATCTTCTTTACACCCCGTCCCAGGGGAAAGACAGAACCAAATAAATCCGATTAGCTTCCCAGGAGGCTGGCTGCTGTCGCTCTTTGAAGACCAGCGAGTGAAGATAATGCCATTTCCACGTGGGAAGTCGAGTCAGAGCGCTAGAAGGTCCCCAGCTCAGGAAGCTGGCAGGGCACAGCCAAGCCAGGGGGGCAGCGTGGCCTCAGGACAGCAGGGTCCTTGCCCACCCCTATGACCATGCTTCCTCCTCCCCAGCGCCCCCTCCCCTAGCATATCCCCACAGATCACTGCCAAGGAGGTGATCCTGCTCCACTTGGCTCAGAGACAGAGAAAGAATAAGGCCATGGCCAGAGGTTGTGAGAAGTCTCAAGGCCAGCAGAGCCGTTAGGAATTAAGAGTACGAACGAGGGTCCTGACATGCGGGAATAGTAACTTGCAGTGGTTTGCTTTCTTGTTCTTAGGACCTTGATGCGTGCGTGTATATGTGTGTGTATGTGTGTGTGTGTGTGTGTAGAAGCAAGCAGTTTGGCAATGGTCTCATCATCACATCTGATTAAACACTCATCTTCCTCAAGCCCCTGAGGTGTGCAGGTTCCAACAACCTGGCAGTTCTCTGGGCTTCCAGCTCTCCTGCACCTGCCTTCAGCCCCTGCCTCTGCCTCTGCCATTTCCACCCAGGGGTCACGGCCCCTTCACTACTGTGCGCACCAGGACCAGCTCTCAGCCCAACCTTCCTTGTCCTGCTTCTTCCCAGGATGAGGAGGGCTCACCTGGGACACCGGACTCTTCTGTCCTGTGCCCCAGAGAATAGAAGGAAAAGTCCTGTTTTGCCCGGCCCGAGAGCCATAGCCAAACAGACAAAGCAGAACCACACTTGTTCTGCAGCCACCTTGGAACCTACCTAGGCAAGAAGACCTTCACGAGCATGGCCCAGAAACTTAGTCCCCAAAGGCCTGACACGGCGGACCAGGGGAAGTTTTTCTAAAACCCTACTGAGTATGCACCAAGTGTACACACACACACACACACACACACACACACAGAGTCATCTCTTGTGTCATGGGAAACTGGCTCTAAGACCCCCACAGATACCAAAATTCATGTGTGAATGCTGTGCAGGTGGCTATCAAGCTGCATTGTGGGGGGAATGGTGGCAAGAATAAAGTCTCCATGTGTTCAGGGTTCAGGACAGACGAAACTTTTGTTTCGATATTTTCATTCTGTTGTTGGTTGAACCCATGAGCCCATGGAAACAGTGAACCAACTGCATTCTTCTTTGTCAAAGTCAAAGGGTTGTACAACCTTATTTACTAGCTCCAGACATCATAAATCCAAAAGCACGTGGTGAAGACCCTGCAACTGAGTAGCTCTGGGTTTGTTCTCTGAGCTCATTAGAGACGAGAAAAAAGAGCTCATCATGTACAATACATCAACTGGGAAAGGCTCTGAAAACCTTCTCTCTCTCTCTCTCTCTCTCTCACACACACACACACACACACACACAAACCATTATACCTCAGCATTATTTCTAGCCTAAATTGAAATTCTAACTTACTAGATTCACCAGGGTTTTTTTTTTTCCCACTAACAGGAAGTGGCATCTCCTTTTCCATAGGATGCCTGGGTTTTCCCTAAAGTGGCATTCATTTTTTTTTTGGCTATAAATATATGAAAGTCTCTGTCAGGAGTGCCTGCAGGGAACGAAAGTTGAAGAGCAGTAAAGAGTCAGTTTACGGGTTGGCAGCCTGAGTGACTGGCTCCCGCTCCCTCACCCGCACCCATCTGCTCCGCCGTGGCTTTGCCTTCCCGTCTCCACTGGGAGCCCTGCCTGCCTGCCTGGAGCCCTCACTGGTGGCTGCTGGCAAATGAGGATGGCACTGGGAACCCTCGGGGTGGGGAGGGGTCTGCAGAGCCCCCAGGTAGATCCCCATAGAAAAATCTGCCTGGATCCAGTTCTCTGTAAATCCTCGAGACCCCTTAATAGGTGGAGTAATCACGTGACCCCATTCACCAGGATCATTTTCAAGCCCACTTTTGGGAATCAAAACCCTTCCCAGGGCTCTGGCTGCCTGGGGGATGGGACAGACTTTATACTCGTCTCTAAACTGTCTTCACTTTTTCCTGTCTACCCTCCCGCAATGACCGAGTGTCCACGACATGCAGGCATTGGAATAAAGACTGGGGGTGCAGAGGTGGCCACCTTCCCCAGCAGCCCACAGCCCAGGGAGGAAGGAAATCCAGAAGTGGCAGCTCTGTGGCCTCTGTGCTCTCCTGGGGGGCCCACAGCCCATCCTGGAGCCAGTGGCCAGCAAGACGGCCTTCCAGACAGGCAGGGCCTGAGCTGAGCGTGAGGGCTGATTGAAAAGCAATCAGCTAAAGAGGGCTGGGAGCAGGAGGAGCAGAAGAGCGAAGGACAGGAGTGAGCGTCTGAGACAGAAACACACAATCACAGGCCCGGAGCTAGGAGCTAGATGCAGACAGGGAGGCGGCCCTTCACAACTCCACGTGGCTGGATCATTCGCCAGACACAGGAGGAGAGGTGGCAGGGGCCAGGTTGCCCAGCAGGGGCCCAGAGGGGAGAGTCCAGGCTGACTGGCTGTCCCAGGTCCCGGCCCAGGCTGTGCCATTGCTCAGCAGGCCCTGTGTTGCACAAGACTTCTGATAGGGACAGGTTTTCTGGTTGTTGGGAACTGTTCCCCACATCAGCATCTTAGTAGTCATTGGCAGCAGCACCTGTGCAGGCCTTGTTGCAGCAGCAGCCCCCACGCTTTCCCCAAGGGTCTCTCTAAGAACCAGGACCCGGGGGCAAGGGTTTCTTTCCCCTGGCTGATCGTTCCAGGCAGGCGAGGATGGTACAGAGCAGGTGGTCTCCAGGCCTCACTGCCAGGGGCTCCTGGGGGTGGGAATTTGACCTCTGTTAGAGGAGCAGCGTCCAGACAGAGAAGTGAGGACAATCAGTCCTCTCCTTCTCCCTCTCTCCCCAGCGTGGTCCTTCCCATGGCCCCTCCCAGCCAAGCCTTTCTTGTTTGGGTTTTGTTTTCCAAAGCAACCCGACATTCATGGCATTCATTCATTCACGCAGGGCCTGGTAATGAAAGGAGATCAAAAGCCAGAGCAAGTGTGCAGAGCATTGCTGGGAGGGCTTCATCCACCTCCTGGAAAGCCCAGCTCAGCTGGAGCCGGGAAGCTGACACTGCCGATAACAGGTGCCTCAGGCACCAGACACCATGAGGAGCAGAATAGGGGGGCTGGGGGACCACATGAAACCGGGAGCCCAGCGTGTGCGGGCTGGGAACGGGACACGTGGAGGCGCTTGTATCCGGTATTGCAAGAGATAAAATCTGCAGCATGCCACAGCGGAGCTTGCAAATCGGTGCCCAAGTTGCATCACACACATGCGATCCAGGACAACCCGTGGGGTTGGATGAAAGCGCCGTCCTTCTCACCGACAGCTCACCTGGGCACCACAGGGTCTGCCCATGCCCCGGCTCAGGGAAGGACAGTGTGAGCTGAGGACAGACCAGCCTCTGTGCTTCCTCCTCCTGCCCCCAGGACTGTCCCCAGCTGGTGCCCACGGAGGAGATCCTGATTCCCGTCGGGGAGGTGAAGCCAATCACGCTGAAGGCTCGCAACCTGCCCCAGCCCCAGTCGGGCCAGCGAGGCTACGAGTGCGTCCTCAACATCCAGGGCACCGTGCACCGCGTCCCTGCCCTGCGTTTCAACAGCTCCAGCGTCCAGTGCCAGAACAGCTCGGTGAGAGGCCCCTCCCAGAGTAGCCCGGGGCCTGGAAGTTTCCAGAAGCTTCCGGGCCCACAGACTGACCACACAGCCCCACACAGAGAGGAGCAGGGCAGTGAACAGAGTTCTGGGAGCCCCAGCAGCAGCAAAGCTGACAGTCTTGTGCCCTTCCCTGGGTGAAACCCCAGCCCCATTGAGTCAACCCCAGGGTCCTGTCCTGCTGCGGGGTGTAAGCGGGAGGGCCTGACTCAGGAGGGCAGCTGGGGAGTCCAGGGGCCTGTGACTCTGAGAGCAGCAAGGGTTAAACCAATCCCGGATAGCAGAAAGCGTGAGGTGTTTAATTATAATACCAGCCCAGCGAAGATCTTTTTATCTGCCAACTCCCTGTCTCTGACTGTGGGGGGTCAGCTGGGGAGGGGGCTCCGTGACAAAGGTGTTGAGGAAAGCTAATTCGCCTGGGAGACATAAAGGGAATCTGGGCCTCTTATCAGGAAGCTGTCAGATTCCGGGGTCACAGGCGCTTGATAGAATTTGTAATGGGGAAGGCACCAGGCTAGGGGAAGGCAGGATGAGAGAGGGAAGCAACAAAGGAGACAGGCCAGGGGAGGGCCGGGGGCAGATGTGCTGACAGAGACTTGAGCCAAGTGGCAGGGCTGTGCTGCACACCAGGGGGTACCCGGGGTCTCCCCTACAGAGGTGCCAGGTTGGGCCTGGGCCACCGCAGGTCTGCCTCGAGAGAAAACAAAGCGCTGTGAGTCCCTCTGTGGGGTCAGTCCAAGGGGGGAGTGGACTCTTGCCTGGAGGCCTTTCCTGGTGGGACTGACCAGATCTAGGCCCCCAAATCTGTGGGCCTGCTCCCCCAGTGGGGCATTGACCAAAGCAGGGCTCATGTGCAGCTAGAGACAGGAGCCCAAAGAATCACGTGGAGGTAGGGGTCACTGCCGGTGTGGGGCAGGGGTCTCAGAGAGGAGAGGCCCTGGCTTTGCCTCTGAAGCACACGGCTTCCTAGAGGCCAGACTTGCCAGAACGGCTGCATGGTAGCTCCCAGCTGGGGTTCTGGACAGCAGGCAGCGAGACCAAGGACAGAGAGGTTGGGGGAGGGCTGAGGGATCCAGGGACCCCTGGAGAAGGTGGGTCTGAGCTGAACTAGAAGGGCAAGGATGGGTGAGAAGGGTGGCGTTCCTTATGACATGAACTCAGCCAAGACATGCAGAGGGGCGTGAGCAGGTGTCTGCGACAGGTGGATTTGAAAAGTCTGTAGGAGACTGGAGAAGTAAGTTTGGATCAGATTATGGAAGGTGTTGAATGCCAAGCGGGAGGGTTTGGGTAGGAGTCTGGTGGCATTGGTGACTAGAGAGGTCATCTGGGAGCCCTCTGTGCAGAACGGGGGCATCCTCTGCACCCCAGACCTGCTATGGTAGACAGCCTTGCGAGCTGGCGCCTCCGCCCCTGTCCCTGCAGTACCAATATGATGGGATGGACATCAGCAACCTGGCCGTGGACTTCGCCGTGGTGTGGAATGGCAATTTCATCATTGACAACCCTGAGGACCTGAAAGGTAAGCGGCTACTTCCGGGTAGCAGTTTGATCTTCGCACGACCCCGGGAGAGACTGGGGCGGGAGGGATCAGAGCCGGGCGGCCGCTGTGCCATGAATAATACACTCCCTCTGTCAGCGGACCTCTTCAGAGGAGCCGAACGCAACATTTGGAGCCATCAAAGGAGCCCTGTTTTATTACAGCCAGAGCATCTGCGGGCGGCCGCCGGCCCCTCCACGTGATTCTTTGGGCTCCTGTCGACTTTGAAAAGGCGGCGGAGCCTGACCTAGGAGGAGGGCAGGCAGGAGCGTCCCACCAGGCGCCCTGGGAGGACAGACGTGGTTTCGACGCAGGCTCTTGTTCTCCCGTCCTTGGCCCTGCTCACGGTCACTGCGCAGAGAAGGTTTTGAGGCCGCTCCCCTGGGCGGCAGGGGAGGGACCGGCAGGCAGACTCTCGCTCACGTCCGGGGCAGAGATGCTCGCGCTTGGAGCTGGGCTGAAGTGGGACTGGAGCGCCACGCGACCACCTCGACCCCTGGACCTGTCCACAGGTGTGGAGCCCCTTCCAGGGGCCAGGTAGCCCAACCCACAGCGTAGCAGAGACCAAGATTCCGTCCATCCTGCTCTCCAGAGCGGCAAAGCGACTCCCCGCCGATGAGCACTTGCTGTGGGCCAGTGCGCGTTTCGTGGTTTATTTGAGTTGTTTTTTTCTTTGTCATCACAACTCGGAGCTGTAGGCACTATGAGTGTTCTCTTCTTGTGAACGGAGAAACCGAGACCCAAAGAGATCAAGAAATTGGCCAAAAGCCAGAACGGGAAGCGAGACAGTCTCGCTTCAGAGCGCCCAGGCGTAGCGTCCCCACAGTGGGGCCCCACGGCTCAGGCCTCCGTGGAACTCACACGTCCTCTCCTCCAGGAGACGAGGGGACATTCAAAAGTTTGAACAAATGGGATAATGGAATCAAATGATAAGCTTATTTTGGATTTTGGCACAAGACAATTGAAATCCATGCATAACAGTTTTTTTCATAATGCACATTTTTCCATGAACTTTATAAAGACCCCTCGTATACCCCATCCCCTCCTCCCACCATAAGCCACAGGCCTCATGCAGCTGGAGGGTCTCAAGCCACCCCAGGCGCAAAGAAGGGGGCCAAGGCCGAGGGTCTGTAAGTGTCAGTGTCTTTGGGGCTGCAGCTCCCTGTGTCCGTGCCGCAGGGGGCAGACATCTGGTCCACAGTGTAAGATGCTGCTTGGGATGCCCACGCCTCACATCAGAGTGCTTGGGTTCAAGTCCCGGCTTGGTTCCCAACCCCAGCTTCCTGCTGATGCACACCGGGGGAGGCAGCAGGTGACAGTTCAAACACTTGGGTCCCTGCCACCCACAGGAGAGACCTGGATTGAATGCTGGACTCCCAGCATCTGGGGAGTGAACCAGTGGATGGGAGCTCTTCTCTGCCTCTGTCTCTCAAATAAAATTTAAATCAATGTCTCTGAAATGAGGAGAAAGAAACTGGGCCCGAGGTGGGTTTTTTGGTTTTGTTTTTTGTAGTCAGTTTTTTTCTTATTTCTCCTGCCCAAGGCCCCGTTTGCTCACTGTAGAGAGGCGGGAGACACTTCCCCTGCTGAGGGTCTGGGCTGTGCACAGAGCTTGTAGCAAAGCATCCCCGTCAAGCGGTGGCATCCAAACCTTCCCTGGGCCTGGGGATGTTTCCCAAGCACCCTGGGTGCCCACGAAGAGCCGTCTTCACACCTGGCTCCTCCCAGGCTCCAGTGTTCCTGGACGCTGCTCCCTGTGCTGGGTAGAGGGGCCGCTGTGTGTGAGGACTTGGGTTCAGTTGCTGTCACTTCCACCTGCAGCTGTGTGAGCTCAGACTAATTACTGCTCCTCTCCACTGTGCCTGTCTGAGAAAAGGAGGGAAGGAAGCCCGCCTCCCAGGGCCAGCGTGAGTTTCCAATGAGCTCGTGCCTGGCACCATAGGGTCCAGTTTTATATGTGCTCAATGTGCGCACTTGTTTGTGGTGAGCTTCCCACCTCCTGCCCTCTACCTTAGGGAGCCATAGGCACAAGGATGTCTAGATTTGATCCCTGTGGCTGGGACTGAGGGGTGCTGGATAGAGCAGAGGAACAGAATGAAGACCAATGGGAGAATGAAAACATTGCCTCCTGTTGGGGCACACGCCCGTCCTCCAGCACTGATGCCAGCAGGGACACACCACCTGGTTCTGAGTACCTGCATCTGCTTGACCGGAAGAGTTGAAAAACTATTTTCGGAGTGCAATTGTTGTGCTCTGTCCATGGGAGATTGGTTCTAGGACCCTCTGCGCATACCAAAACCTGCAGACGCTCAAGTCCCTTATATAAAATACTCTTGTGTTTGCATTAGAACCTACGCATATCCTTCCACTCATTTAAAATCATCCCTGCATTATTTATAATCCCTAATACAATGTAAATGCTACGTAAGTACTTCTTAATACTGTATTGTTCAGGGATTAATGACAAGGGGAAAAGTCTGTATGTGTTCACTACAGACACCATTTTTTAAAAAAGATTTATTTATTTTATTTGAAAAGCAGATTTAGAGCAAGAGGGAGACACACACACACACACACACACACACAGGGCATGGGGAGGGATCTTCCCTCCATTGATTTACTTCCCTAGGGCTGGGCCAGGACAAAGCCAGGAGCCTGGAACTCCACTCAGGTTTCCCACGTGGGTGGCAGGGGCCATCTTGGGCTGCTTTCCCAGGTGCATTAACAGGGAGCTGGATCGGAGGTGGAGCAGCCAGGACGCTAACCAGTGCCCACATGGGATGCCAGCATTGCAGGTGATGGCTTAACCTGCTTCACCACAATGCCGGCCCCACAGATGCCATTTTTTAAAAAAAAATTTCCAATCCATGGAGGGTTGGATCCATGGATGCAGAACCCATGGATGTGTAGGGCTGACTGTACTCCACTTCCGGAGAATTCTCTTAGGACTCTGAGTGCAAACCACAGCAGGCAGGGAGCCTCAGCTCCCCAGGCCCACACGGCTCGGATCCCTTGACTGCCTGGATCCACCAAGACTTTTAGCTCAGTAGGACACAAAATCAAAGACTGAAGAGTTCGAGGACTTGAGATGTTACCCATGTGGCCTGTTTGTCCTGTCTGGGAGACCCCTCCTTCCACAGGGCCTGTGAACAGAACTGTCAGCCTTTCTTTATCAGCAGTGCCGCCCACTTACAGTCACCTAAACTTCCTTGAGGCCCAGGCTGGCTTCTCTCTCCCAGACCCATGCGGTCTCCAGCGTGCCAGGCGAGCTTCCTGTCTTCTCCCGTTCTAGCATCTGGCAACCTGGTGAGCTGGAGTTTCTGGAGTTTGGAGTGCTCCCTTTAGTAAGCTCTGAGAACCAGGACACCTCTGAGCTTTAGTTTTGCCTGCGGTGAGAAAATGTGCCCGTCTCTCTGGCAATGAAGGCCATCTGTGAGACAAAGAGACAACTAAGGAAAATGGAGCTTGAGTTCAAAGAAAAGATAATCAGCATGTATAGAGCATCAGATATGTCGCAGGCACAGTGTTAAGCGCTTACTGTACAACAGCTCATTCGAACTTCCTAAGAAACAATGATTATCCCCACATCAGAGAACAGGTAAACGTGGTTCAAGGAGGGTAAATACTTTGTCACACTGCTAGGAAATAGCGAAGCCACAATTAAAGCCCGCATCTGATTCAATCTGGAGCCAGAACTCTTAAATAATATTATTTTCTGCAGTGCCTTTAAATGACTTGCTAAGAGGCTCGATTTATCAATTCCCCATCAGTTATTCTTGCAAGGATAATGAGGACCAGTGGTGTTATCCATGCCAAGGGCAGTTTCTGTTGCCAGGAGAGGGTGTATCAGGAACAGGCTCTCGAAACCCACTTGTGACTGTCTCCTGTCTTTGCAGTCCATCTCTACAAGTGTGCGGCCCAGCGGGAGAGCTGCGGCCTCTGCCTCAAGGCCCACAGGAAATTTGAGTGCGGCTGGTGCAGCGGCGAGCGCAGGTGCACCCTCCACCAGCACTGTTCCAGCCCCTCCAACCCCTGGCTCGACTGGTCCAGCCACAATGTCAAGTGCTCCAACCCCCAGATCACGGAGGTGAGTTCCCCAGGTTCCCTGGGTGGGAGAGGTTGGCCTGGATCTGACCTCAGGGCAACGGAAGGGATGTGCAAGTTGAACCTGTGTGGCTGAATTCTTGGTATAGAGTATATTTAACGTGTGGGCTTGCAGGGTCCGTTGTGTGCGTCTGGGCAGCCCCTGTTCAGGCATGGAGTGGACCCCATGCATCAGTGTGCACACACATCTGCATGCATGTGCACATGACAAGAGAGGCAGAGCCAACCCGGTCTCTCTGGCAAGCTGGCTGAGCCAGGTGGGGACAAGAAATTGGTTCCACAGTGGGTGAACATTTCAGAAATCGGGTTTAGCTTTTCTCAGCAGAAATGTGACTTCAGGAGCTGCAATTAGCTCAAAGTTGCAAGGCTGAGAATGGAAGAAGAAAGGTAAGGCAAATACAACATCAGCTGCTGGACCATGTCCCAAGGTTTGCTCTCTGTCCCAATTTGTTTGTGCACTTGAACAGGAAGAAATAGACAATTAATTATCCTAGGGGGAAAATGATGTTCCCCAAAATAGCAAATGGCCAGGGAAGATGTGGAGACGACGTGTGTACAAATGCAGCTGCTGGGTTTTGAGTAGCCTGGCAAAGGAGCTATTCAAGTTGGTGACATTGTGTGCCCATCACTCTTCGCGGCTCCTGGTTCAATGACTGGCACTTGTATTTTGGAACTAATTGCGTATCCCTTATGAGGACTAGGAATAAGGGAGGAGGGAGGGTCCTGCAGTGGTCTGCAGGGTTCAGAAAGCAGGGAGGGGCCACTCCCTCTCTTCTTCCTTGAGCTGATGCACACTGTCCCTTTTCCCAGCCTCATTTTCCTGACTGGCCAAAGGAAACAACTCTGGTTCTGGACTGTGTCACCACGCATTGGGAAACTTCCAGAGCATTCCCACAATCAGATCAGTTTTTTAAAAAAACAACCTTCACAAACGAATGGGTGTTGTTAAGCTACGGATGGGTTATTTGAAGAGGGAGCAATTATTTATTCAATGGGCTTGGCACTGTTATGTTTAATCCTCACCACAAGTGTGGGAAGGAAAGAGGCTGACGTCCCTTGTACAGATGAAGATGAGACTCAGAGAAATTGGCTGACATGCCACACAAGTCCACGCAGCTGAGAAGGGGCAGAGCCAGTACATGAGCTCAGATCTGTGTAGTAATTCTTCAAGTCTCCACTGCCCAAATACTGTAACACAAGAAGTGGGGCTACCCTTCCCTTAATACCCATGCCCTTCCCGGCTGGGGTAGACCAGGTAGATTCAGCACATGTACATGACAGCACGTCCCCAGGAAAGAGCAGAGCTGTGGGACGGTGCATACCATGTCTCGGTCTTCATCCACCCACGGCAGGATGCTGATAGTCCAGTGTAGACGCTGGCCTTCCAAGACTGGGCTGCATCAGTCCCTTGAGACTCCTGGACGTGGCCAGTGATGATGCCTTCTGGCTCTGCCCCATGCCTTCATCTTGCAGGAAGGGACTGTCGGCAGGGGCTGCTGGTGGTGCCCCAGCCTGTGCCCCCAGAGAACCGGCTCCCCGAGCTGCTCAGGGCTCCGTGCCTTCTCCCCGATTCCAGCGATTTCTGGCAGCGGCTGGCCTGAGCACTTACACAGTTCTATAATTCTTACCACTGCCATGTCAGTCTCTCTGCGGCTCAGCACCTGTGGTGCCAGGGAGCTCAGATTAGGCAGGGATTCCCTTCTTGGGCACCCCCACCTCTGCCAGCGCCAGTGTCTGCCCCAGCGCCCCCGCCGTCTGCTCCCCGACTGGCTGCGGCCCCTGCTTAGCCCCAGGGCCGGCTCCTCCCTGGGAACTCTGCCTCCTGTGCCCCTGCTCACTGACCGGGGACTGCCAGGCTGCTCCCTTCACAGGGAACACCCAAGCTGCAGGAGGCTAATTAACCCCCTGAGGTAATTAGGCTGTAATTGATTTTCCCAGTGAAGAGAGCAGCAGGAGCCAGAGGCCCCAAGTCTCCTGTTGGTGATTTTCATGTCAAGGCTGTTGAGAAATGAAACAGCCTGGGGTGGGGTAGGGGGCAGCAAATCCATGCTGTGTCCCAAGTCCCCCCCCCCCCGGGGGGTCGTCACTCTGGACCAGGACCTGGGGGAGGGGAGCGCCAGGGTTGGAAAGTTCTCGTCTCCGTCATCTGGAGCATTTGCCTGCTGCTTGCGTCTCCTGCCCCACTCCCATCCTCCTTTCCCTCGAACAGGCATTTTTCTGTTTCTTTAACTTTTCACTTTTGAAATAATTTCAGGCTTATCAAAAGGTACAAAAATAGTACAAAGAACATTCCTATACCCTTCACCCAAGTTTTCCAAAGTTAACATCTTGCATAATCATGGTGCAATTAATCAGCATCAGGCAATTAATGTGAATAGAAAGATACCATTTAGGAGAAAGGCCTTATTAATATTTTCCCCACTGCCCACAGCTGTCCTCTTCCTGGTCCCGGAGCCAGTCTGGGCTCCAACCCCGGTGACCTTCTGTGGCCTCCCTCGTCCTTTAATCCCTGCTGGGTCTTTGCCTTGCTCGGCCTTTGCACAGCTGAGGGGCACGGGCTGGTCATTTTGCCGAATGTCCTTCAATCTGGGGAGGCCTGATGGTTCCTCCTGATTACATCCGGGTTATACATTTTTAGCAAGAAGTACTAGAAAAGTGTGGTGCGTACCAGAAAGGCACAGGAGCCGACCTGGAGGGGAGCCCAGTAGCCACGTCCGGAGCAGGGTGAGCGAGAACATGAGCACAGCCTGCACCCACCGAATAGGAGTCCTCGGTTCTGGTTGACACAGAGACGTAGATAAATAAGTTGATAGGTGAACAAACAGAAGAAACCAACCAAAGAAGTAAATAGTGGGGGAAAGTGGAAGCTCTTCATTACACCAGAATTCCAGCTCTCACTGTAGAAGGCATGACGGAAATAGAAACTCCCCACTTGGCAAAGTTCACGGTAATAACTGTTTCGGGCAAGAATGGTCAATGGCTGCTAAAAATAGTGAATGAAAGTGCAGTGAGAAACAGGATAATTGCGTCGTCCTCAGTTACCTTCCCATAGATGCTGCTGAGACACAGCAGAGCAGAGCAACTTCCCGGTGGAGCAGCCGGGAGACTGCACCCTCAGCAAGCGTCCCCAGTGGTGGGGGACTCAACCCCAGCCGCCCCCCAATAGGACGCCCCGAAGAAGAGCACAACGTCCTCTCCAGGGCGTTTTTGGCAAAGATGCTGGTTGTCTCCACTCATTTGCTCTGTCTCTGCTTTCTTGACTGAGCACCTCGCCCTGGCGTCGATCTTCTCCCTAAACCTGAGCTCCCACACCCTTTTAGCCTCAGCACCTGGTCCCTTCCCTCGTCTTTGAACCCTGTTCTTTCTCAGTGCAGGCAACAATGCCAGTTACTACAGAGGAGTGAAGAGAGGAGGAGCCTAGGGTGGCCTCTGATGGTTGCGGGGGGGGGGGGGGGTGGCAGATTTCCCAATCCTGGAAATAAGTGGGGGCTGCAAAGGGTGCTGCCCCGCCTGCAAATAGGAATAAATGAGATCCCTCAGACGAGTTCTACTTTAGAGAAAGAAGTGGGTTCACGCAGAGTGAGGTGAGCAGCTGTGTTCTCCCTCAGCCCCTCCTTACCCCACCGTCTCCTTGGCAACCAAGGTCACCCCTGGAGACCCATCTTGGATGGCAGCTTCATGTCGGACAAGTTGTATCGCCAGTTGAATTCCCCCGTCTGCATCCGCCTCAGGTTAGGACCCCCTCAGGACCCACCGTCTGCTCCTTCTCAGCGGCTGCTGCTGGGATAATGACGCTGGCCCCGTGGGAGGCATCCCTTGGCTGCTCCCATTTCCAGCTGTCGTGGGGACGCCCGTGCACGTGTCACCTGTTCCACCTCGCCACTGTGTTTCTGCTCCTCCGTCCTTGATTCAGAATCAGCCAGAATTTCCCAGGGGAGGATGTGCTGAGCCACCCCCCCACCAAGAGGGGAGGCCCACAGAAAGCACTGCCCGAGAAGTGGAGAGTCGGCAGGATCTGGCCGAAAGCGAAGGGATGGAGGATGTTCTTGGGTAGAGAGGCTCAGGCAGATGGAGAGGCTGTGGATGCCAACGTGCCAGAGGTCTGCCCGCTGGTCCCAGTGAGCTCTGTCTCCTCCACGTCTGATGCTGCACGTCCGAGATCAAGGGGTCAGCACCACTGGCTCCTTCTGAGGGCTGAGACGGGAGCGGGTCCAGCCCTCTCTTCTCACTTCTGGAAGCAACGCCCTGGTCGTCCCTTCCCATTTCTTAGCATTCCCAGGGCGTAGCCATCTCCAAACTTTTTTAAAGATTATTTTACTTGGAAGTCAGAGTTGTAGGGGAGGGGGTAGAGAGAGAGCAAGAGTGAAAGGAAGAGCAAGAGCAAGTGGGTGAGCGAGTGAGAGAAAGAGAGAGAGAGAGAGAGATGGACTTCCATCCAGTGGTTCACTTCCCAGGGGGCTGCGATGGCCAGGGCTGGGCCAGGCCAAAGCTGGGAGCCAGAAGTTTCATCCAATCTCCCACGTGTGTGCAGGGGCCCAAGCACTGGGGCCATCCTCCGCTGCTTTTCCAAGCCATTAGCAGGGAGACAGGAAGTGGAGCAACCAGGACAGTGCCAATATGGGAAGCTGGCATTGCAGGCGGCAGCCTTACCAGCCATGCCACAGCACTGACCCAATTTTTTTAAATGAGGACATAAGTCATATTGGATTAAGGCCCACTCTAATGTAACAACCTCTATACAGACCCTGTCCCCAAATAAGGTTCCAGACTGAACTACTAGGAGCTAGAGCTCCACCATTTCCATGGCGGGGGGGATAAAATCCAACCTATAATAGGATTTCTGAGACAGGGGAGGAGGTGCCACAGCTCCAAATAAGATTCTTCACTCATCCAATGAGTGTTTCAATGTTTGCCGTTCTTTGTGCCAGGCATGGCGGTTGTCATGTGGCTGGGTGGGCCCTAGGTGGACAGGCAAGGGGATGT